TTATTGCTAATATTAGTACTCCGTATGAAATAAAAATACATTTGTATTCATATCTGCAGTGTGATAGGTGACATTAGATTTTGAAGGCTGGTTCAAATCAGAACTTTTTTGAGTTCTCTGTTTCTTTCTGGTGGATTGGCCCTCCCATGTTGTGGTATGTACTCTATATACTGTTAATTCTATATACTAATTTTATAACTACAGTTAAAGTCAAAATTTCCTATATATTTTCACCCACTTTCTGTTTAATGGGCAGATTTTTTCAACACATTTCTAAACATAATAGTTTTAATAACTCATTTCTAATAACTGATTTCTTTTATATTTGTCATGATGACCGTACATATTATTACAGATTTTTCAAGATATAGTATTCAGCTTAAAGTGGCATTTAAAGGCTTAACTGGGTTAATTAGGCAAGTTATGGTAATTAAGCAATTCATTGTATAATGATAGTTTGTTCTGTAGACTTAAATATTGCTTAGGGGGCTAATAATAGTGACCTTACAATGTTTTCATTTTTATTAAACTACTTTTATTCTGGCCAAAATAAAACAAATTAGACTTTCTCCTTGAGACAAATGTTATAGGAAATACGGTGACAAATTCTTTGCTTTGTTAAATATCATTTGGGAAATATTTGTGAAAGAAAAATAAATTCACAGGAGGGCTAATAATTTTGACCTCAACTGTATATACTGTAGTCCCATTCTTCTGCTTTTGCTGAATGTTTCTTTTAAAGGTGTTGCTCGAAAAACCCAATATATAATTTATTTATAATAGCATGCTGCATATGCTTATTTTTTACTGGAAGTAAATAAAATTTGGATATACTGTATGTGTCTATTTAAATGTAAGTGAGTTGCTGGTCTCCGCCCCATTATCTGAAGAAGGTCTAGCCTTTAGGTCCCATGCCTGAGAATGTCTTAAGTGATTGTTGTCAAAAGCTCAAACTTCTTTACCAGTCAATACAAGTATTTAAAAAAAAAACATTTCCTGATAACATTTGAGCTCTCTTGAGCAGTTCTTAAATGCTGCTGATTGGCCATCATGTTCATGTGCTCAATAGATAGGATTGTGAATGGCTCTGAAAGTTATCCCTATTTTTTAAAGTATTGATTAGTGCCAACTACCTTTGGCAACCCTTTTATTGCAGTTATTTAAGTCTATCATCTGCATTTGCTTTAAAGTGAGGTTGGTAAACCCATCAGAAGTACACAGAGTAATATAGTTGTGAAAGATGCATGAGAATTAAACTTAAGTTCACTTTTACATCAGTATTGTACATAAACCATCAATTACACGCAGGCATATCAGATACACAGTGCTGACCACAAATCCCTTTTAGGTTATGCTCACATGTAGCAGGGTATTTTTAGAAACAGTTTTTCCTGCATTCATTTTTTTTTAAAAAGCTCTGATTTGTGATAAAAGCCTTTCATAGAGGTTTCACACCCAATGTGGAATTAAGAATTTAAGTAAATTGCATATAAAGTCAATGGAAATGTGAGAACAGAGGTGCGGATGCGTGGAATTTGCCTCAATTGCATCTTCTGTATTTGGTGTGAACACAACCGTCCAAACTCTGTTTTAGTGGCCACAATTACACTGTAACTGGAGTTTTGGAGTCACCTGAAGCTGCGTTTTTGTGGTAAAAAAAAATTTAATTAATAAAAAAAAAAAGCTCTTAGAAAAAAACCTGCAGTTTCGAAAATACCCATGTTCATGTGGACAGGGCCTTATATTCACTTTGTGTATTTAACTATAGCAACATAAAGCACTACTGCTGTTTATGCTATTAATGTAAATAAAAAATCGCTCTCTGCTCTTGTCCATACCTGCCAACACTTCCGTTTTTTCCGGGAGTCTCCCATGTTTCAGACCCATTTCTCGCCATCCTCCTGTTTTGTTATTTCTCCTGGAAAACTTCCGTAATTTCACCCCCTCTTGTCTGAATTATGTAAGTAGCTTAATAAGAATATTTTTTTGAGTACAGGGATTCTTATAGATCTATGCTTACAGGGGCTTATAATGGACAGAGCTTATAATGGGCAGGGCTTATAATGGGCAGGGCTTATGATGTCACAGGAGCAGGAAATCTTTCAGACACTTATTTTGAAATTTCACATTTGTGATTAACGAGTCATTATGAAGTGAAGTAATTATTATGAGCTAGTTTTCCACTCACTTTGTTTGGACATGGTGTACAAATGCTCAAACAACAGTTTATATAAAGCAAGTTTTGCATAATAACTCCCCTTTTGCACTAACTTTGAGATTTGGTGCTTGAAAGCAGTTTTTGAAGAGCAGGAATAGATTCAGAAGAGGGCCAGGAAGGTCTGCATTCTCTTTGTAGGTATTTGTGAATTGTGCGGGCTGTGTGGCAGCATGCTGGGGTGGATGGTGAGGTGTTTAAGCAGCTGGCAGTGTTTCATGTGGCTTGTGCAAACTGCAGAGCTAATTGTTTGTTTATCCTCCTCCAACACAGGAACTGGCATCTGGGCTCTCGCCCCACAGTGGCTGCTGTGTGTATATGTGTGGGTGTGTGGGTGTGTGTGTGTGTGTGACTGTCAGGTTTGACAAACTTTAGTGATGAAGCAAGCAGTGTGTAAACCATAGTTATGATCGAGACATTGCAGCAGAAAATATGGATGTTGAGGCTGTTGTCAACAATAAAGGCTAACAAGTGTCATTCTTTTTAAAGAGTCACTATTGTCAGAGATCCTGTTTGCATTTTCTTTCACTGAGAATAAGTTGGAAATCAATACTGACACTAAAAAGAACCACAGTGTGTGTGTTTATGTACATTATATGTAATATGTGATGTCGTTTTCATCCATATAAATGTTGTATATTTGTATATAAATAGTCATATTCATAAGCTCACTTTAACACTAACACTGGGAAACACTAATGTCAAGGCAAGCGTATATTTATTTGAAATGGAATTAAATCATATTTGCAGTTTTTTTTTTTTTTTTTTTTTTACAATTTGTGGGTGCAAATCTATCAACAACAAAAACAACAAAGCAGACTAGGCTGCACAATATACCGTATCAGCATCAGTATCGGAATGCACACTTTTGCAATCGTCACATCGTAGCACATGCAATGTCCAGTCATGATTATAGCTGAGCAAGTTTGCCATTGCTAAATGTATGCATTATGTAGTGAACGTTAATCATTTGCATGTTTTTAGGCCTGTGATTATTATTAAGCAGTTCAAGAGAGCTTATAAGCCCAATCAATTCTGTTTGCAGCTTTAGATTACAACAATTATTTGTTTGGATATCTATATGATGAAGCCTATACAGTAATATTTTGCATTTAATTGTTCAAGTTGTGTCTGAATACTATAAAGACTTCTCAGAAAATCCATTTCTTTCATCTTCATCTTTGCTATTTTGTACTTATCTATGCTTTTAATTTTATTATGTGTTATGTAGAATAATCCTAATCAACCAGCCTCCCCCACCCCCAAAATATGGCGGTATGATTTTTTTCCCAATATCGTGCAGCGGCCGCAGCCCTAAATAAAACTATATTTAATTTTTTTTTAAACATTTGTTTTCATTTGATTAATTATCATATTATGCTATGTTATTATTTATTTTTCATTGTATTCTTTCTTCATCATGTTTTCATTTTAGTATTTGTCATTTAAGGTTTTTTTTCCTTGTACACCAGCAATTTAGAAAAAAAAAATATTATTGTGAAAATAGCTAGTTGTGATTGAAATGAAATTGTGAAAAGGTTTGCAGAAATAATTTCTATGTGCATGTGTGTGAATAATATTTGAACATTTTCCTTATAAAATTTTCAGTGGCCCTTCCCAGAATAACAAACAAAAAAAGTTAATATACAGCATCATGTCTTGCATTATGTAGCAAAAAAGGAGAAAATCACTTACAGTATGTACATTTAGGTACATTAAAGGGCCGAGAGAAGTCTTTTGTGTCTTTTCAGCTCAAAACACCCATCAGATTACTTATTATACCTTTTAGAATATTGGGATTTTCTGCTCTGAACACCATGTAGCTGTTTTTGTTGCCTGTACCTTTAATGCTAGTTCTCCCCGTCCACCGTTCTCACGTGCCTGTCAGAGTGCAGAGTGCCGCCTCGGCTACGTTAGATAAACTGCACAGTGACAGACATGGTGGAAGCAGATCTCATGTAACGTTTGTGAGAAATACTACAGTAGAATATTTACCAATGATTATTTGATGTATTTGTTGTGGAGTTGCAAAGATGAGTAACCCACAATGTGCACTTTTGCATGCACATGTGACAGAATACACGGTAATGTCCACTGCTGTATGGATATCCTTTATGTTAATGTACAAAATTAACCTGATTTAATGTCCACAAACCGGGATTGAAGCGTCTTCTTTTATAATTGTACTGACATGCAGCTGTGGTGAATAAGTAAAGACGCTAAAATCGCTGTAATTCGTTAAGTAATTAATTGTGGAAACTGCACCCCTACATCACAATGCAGTGGGCCTCAAAATGGGAGGGATTTGGATCCTATTTTAACGTCGACTTATTGTGTTTCTATCACTCCAATATGATTGTGGACACACTATACTTACTCACAGTTCTCTACAAACAGCTTACAACAGATTTTCATCATAGGTGCTCGTTAAATGCATTATTTCTTTCTAAAGAAGGTTTAATTGCTCATATCATATGCATAATCTTAGAGTATGACAGATCCAGAGCTATTTATCCAACATAAATGCAATATACAATATCTACGTATTCCTTTAAATTAAAATATTGAGGCGAACCAACAAAAGAAAATCAGTGCAGCAGTGTAAAGTAACAAAAGTTCAAAGCCATGTGGTTTTCGGACCATTTACAGCATTAGATTATTGGTTGTGCAGAATATATTTCACTTGAAACACCAGACTAGATCCAGTATGAGTTTAGAGTTGGAAAACAGCAACAATTGCTCCTAGTTGAAGACATATTTCTTTAATATTGTCTGTCTTTGGCAGGTACCACGAGACAGCCTCGCGAAGGGGAGGTTCCAGGAGTGGACTATAATTTCATCAGCGTGGGGGAGTTTCGTGTGCTGGAGGAGAGCGGCCTGCTGCTGGAGAGCGGAACTTATGATGGTACGAAACTGTGTGTAGGAGCACTGAGAGTCAGAGATCACTTCTTGTGGGCATGTTAAACGAATATCTACTTTAGATAACTCCTCAAGCACTGGAAATTTGCTTAAGGTACTACCAGTGCTTGCAATATACATGCATCTTATAAAAGAGTCATATATTCTGCTGCTACACTATAAGAAATGATCTTTTGAGGTGAATTGTTGTTAGAGTTTTGGAGCATGTCTTATAAGAAAATACTTTTTTGTAATGTAAAATTCAATGTTAAATTCAATGTAATGCTTGTAATTTCTTTAAAAATGGTTAAATATTCAAATTAAATATTGAATTATTTTAGTTCAGTGTAGCAGACTATTTTAAATCAGCTGTGCAGAAGAATTAATATATAAAGGCATAAAAAATAAAAATATAAGGTATGTTTTAGTGTTTATAGTAATATACTGAAACTGTATATTGTGGAAACGGAAAGTATTCTGACCCCCTTAAACTTTTCCCTCTTTGTGATATTGCAGCCATTTGCTAAAATCATTTAAGTAAATTTTTTTCCTCAATAATGTTCACACAGCACCCATACTGACAGAAAACAGAATTTTTGACATTTTTGCAAACTATTTAAAAAAGAAAATCTGAATTATCACATGGTCCTACTACACAACAAAATTAGAGATTGTGGCTTAATTATAGTGTAGTTTGGTTATTTTTGTGTCTTTTTTATTAATAATAGCAGTCATTATTAGTATTTTTTTATTATTGGTGTTTTTAATTTTAGCATTTAAAAATAGTTGTGATAGAGATGAAACCAATTGGTGTAAAGATTTGTAGACATAGTTTCAAACAATATTTAAACGAAGATTTTCCCATTAACTTTTCGTTGACCCTTACCAGCAAAACAAAAAAGTTTATGTACTGCATCACGTCTCTAAATAATTCTCTTATCAGTTATTGCTATATTATGCAAAGGTATGTACATTTAGGACCTTAAAAAGCATTAATTCTTCCTAAAGAATTTGCTTTTTTTTTTTTTTTTTTTTTTTGGTTTGTTCATTTGTTAATTCAATTTCCATGCAAGATTTGACTGAGATGAAGTATAATTAATGATATTTTTAGTTCTGATTAAATTAAAGGTTTTTAAATTTAAATTTTAAAAGGTGTGCATATATATATTCTACTGTTTATTTGTTTGTTCATTTATTTATTCAGTTAGTTCACATGCATTTCATTTTCACCGAAATGAAGGATAAATAATAATAGTTTTAATTTAAGTTTTAGGCATTTTACTTCTAATTAAGTTAAAGGTAATTTCCTAAAATAAAATGCATTTTTACATTTTTTAAATGCTTCCAAAACCAAATTTTAATGTTTTTTTATTTATTTGTTCATTTGACTTTTTATATGTTTGTTCATTCATTAATTCATTTGATAGTTCAAATGAATTCAAAACTTAGATGTAAACTAACTGTAGGCTAAATAGTGATAGTTTTAATTGTAGTTTTAGGCATTTAGATCTGATTAAATTAAAAGGTAACTTCCTAAAATATTATAAAAGATTTTTAAAGATTTATAAAAAAAAGTTTATATTTGTTTATTCGACTGTTCATTTGTTTGTTAATTTGTCCATTAATTAATTCAGTTAATGTGCAAGTTTGCACCAAAAAGAAGGCTAATTAATAAAAATAAATTTAAAATAGCGTAAATAATATAAAAACATTCATTTTGGGTGGTGGGAGGGAGGGGTTAACTGTACATTTGAGGCTAAAACTTATCTCCAAAACAAAGTTTATATGGAGTCTGTGTGGCGTTCAAGCTGAATTAATTGAAGATAAGGAAAATGTCATTTCAATACAAGGCGTGTAACTCAGTCATACCAGTTCATGCTGAACACTGGTTTCCTTCACTCTTAAAATATTCCTTTTAGATTCGGCACATTGCCATGGCAAAAAAAAAAAAAGAAAAAAAAGAATGTGGGCCGCATTACTGTGTAGTTACAGAAACGGTTGCTGACTCACCATCTTTTTAAGGTAATTAAGGGAGACAAGTGTGCTGAATGTTTGTAGTTCTGACACTTTTATTTTTTCTACCTCTTCTGCTGAGTTGAAATAGTTGAGAGCAGAGGCCATTCACCGTGTGTGATTCATAACATGCCTAAAGGATCTCAAGGTCTGAGTTATTAATGTCGTGGCCTTAGAGCCAGCCAGTTCAACCGATAAACCCAGTGAATGCTCGACAAAGTCCTCGCCTTTAGCCATGTGTGAAAGAGGTAGGTTTGGTTAATGATTCGTCCATGAGTCACTAAGTGCCCTTGTTTAATGGGAAGGTCTGGTTGTAGTTTCCTGCCTGTAGAAGTAAATCTGTCCTGTGTGGACGTCACAGTGAGTGACTTTTGCTGGGGGGCTTTTCATCTACATGAACTATCTTGACTCTTGGGATTTTAGCTTGAAGGATAATTTCACACTCACCAATTCTGGTTAGTGATTTCTTGTCTTCCGGTGACATCTGGCAGGAAAGTCATTGCACGCTGCACAAGAATCTGATGCCTCAAACTAGCATGATTTATTGAGCCTGTAAATGTATTTGGAAAAGTGGACTTCAGTATTCTTCAGAATGTCCTTAATTTGTGTCTGAAGTGCTATTTGCTGTTGCATATTTGCGCATAGTGTTGCTAATATAAATAAATAAGTATTAAACATGCTATCATTCAATGGTGAATCATTAGTTGCAGACTCACTCAGATTAGATTATTTAAATCGGTGAGTAGTTAACTGGAGACTTGCTTTCACTGGATTGTGAATATTTACCTAGACACTCGCTCTGACTGAATGATTTGAATTAGGGAATCTTTAGGTGGAGACTCACTCTAGCAAAATCATTTAAATAAGTGAACAATTAACTGAAGAATCGCTTTGACCAGATTGGTTAAATCTGTGTATATTTCACTGCAGATTCGCTTTGATTGGATCATTTAAATTAGTGAATCTCTAACTGGAAATCCGCTCTGACTGAATGATTTGAATTAGGAAATCTTTAGGTGGAGACTCGCTTAGAATGAATCATTTAAATCAGCAAATAGTTAACTGGAGACTCGCTTTGACTGGATCATTTAAATCAGTGAATCTTTAACTGGAAACTCGCTCTGACTAAATGATTTGAATTAGGGAATTTAGGTGGAGATTCACTTATATTGAATCATTTAAATCAGTGAATAAGTAACTGAAGACTCGCTTTGCTCAGATCATTTAAAGCAGCGAATCTCTAACTGTAGACTCACTGTGATTGGATCATTTAAATCAGCAAGTCTCTAACTGAAAACTCGCTCTGACTGAATAATTTAAATTAGGGAATCTTTTCAGTGGAGACTCACTCAGAATGAATCATTTTAATCAGCAAATAGTTAAAGGGAGACTTGCTTTGACCATATCGTTTAAATCAGTGAATCTTTTAACTGGAAACTCGCTCTGACTAAATTATTTGAATTAGGGAATCTTTAGGTGGAGACTTGCTCTGACTGAATGATTTAAATTAGGGAATCTTTAGGTGAAATTGCTTGTATTAGTTGCTTTCTTACCAATTTTTTTGTTTGTTTTATCTATTATTATCTGTAAAGCTGCTTCTGGCTATGACATGTCGATAAATGGTCATAAGAGACATATTTAAATGATTATATGCAACATTCTTCATTTATTCTCCTAGGTAAGGAGAGATCTCCACATAAGTGTCATACTTAGAGGGGAAAATGTGCTTTATGCATTATAAAGCTTAGAATCGGTACTCTGTATTGACCGATCACCATTACAAGGAATTGATACTTGGTATCGGCTGCAAAAATCCTGATCAGAGCATCCCTAATTTAAACCCATTCAGATGTTTTTTTCTGTCAGTAGTGGACATTTATGTAACATAACCAATGATATACTAGGGAATGACTAGTGTGTGAAGGGCATAAAAATTTCCACTGGAATGCAGCCATGCTGGATCATTCAAGTCAGTGAGTCTTTTACTGCGGACTCGCTTTGACTGAATCATTTAATGCAATGACTCAAGAAGGCACAATTTAATTGCTTATATCTGATTTTTGAACCTGAAAAAATATAAACTATTTTACAGACTATACAGCCCGTGTTTTTCTTGTTTTTTTTTTACTTAAAAATAATTACACTGTATAACCCAACAGTCAACTTTATTAAATGAAATGAGTGTCATAGCTCAAAAATAACTGAAAGTTAATTCTGCTATTTTGAAAAAGAATTTTGAGTTTTGAACTTAGTGTTCATAATCTACACTTTATGCCACTACATTCCACTAAAATGTGTAATTCCTCACAGTAAAACCCAAAAGTTGAGGCAACTCAATCCATTTGAGGAAACCGATAGCAACAAACTAAAAGTTCAAAAACTGATCCTAATGACTTGAAGAAAGTTGAAGAAATTAGGTATTGAATCAACTCATAACCTTCATTTGTAAAAGTGAAAATTTTCTAAATTAAAAAAAACTACAAATAGTTGAGTAAAGATACATTTATGAAAAAAGTTATTGTTTACATAAATTGTTTTTATTTTATTTTAGTGTTTTTTTTTTATTCAAAGAAACATTCTTATATTAAGTAACCTTTTGCTCAAGTATGTGCTCATCTCTTTACTAGTTGACACTCTGTCCCAGTTGTGTGAAACAGGAAGGTCATGGTCATTTTAAATCCCCTTTATATTCTGTAGCTGCCAGTGGCCAAGTTTTGAGCTGTTGTGTAAATTCAGGTCTGTATAAGAACAAACTCTAAGCCAGAGGTAATATTGTCTATACACAATACAGACTGATTTATGTGATCTCCAGAGTCGAGGTTTGCCGTTTCCAGGCCAAAGAAATAATTGACCAGTTTTTCAACATGCCGCAGCATGATGTAATCAATGGTAACTGGTTATGCCCAAGTTTTATAGTGTGAACTCTGTTCGAATGCTACACTGGGTCATATCTTCTTACAACAGTGATTAAAAATAATGAGAACTTGCATTTCA